TATCAGATCAAATACGAAAATAACGTGTACACACACACACACACACACACACACACACACACACACACATATATATATATATATATATATATATATATATATATATATATATGAAGAAAATATCTGGAAAAACAAACAAAAATCCTTAGAATGTGATTATGTTGTTTTAATTATGAATGAAATGTCGACGTCTGACGTTTCGGTTTAAAAACCTTCTTCGGTACAATATTCATTAAAAATACAATACAATTAACATAATCAATATAAATCGACGAAAACGATGGACATAAAAAACAAGTCTTATCCAAAAACAGATGATATAAAATTTTGAATGATTAACTTTCCGTTTGAGCGTGGTCACGTTGTCGTCAAATGGGCGACGCTTTAAAAACGTATTCTTAAAATTTTTATAAAATTTGATTCCGATGGAAAGCAGTTCGTTGTAGTAATATATATAAGAGACTATGTAGCAAATATTTTTCTCTCACTCAGTATTTTTTTTACATTCCCTTCTTTTTATTACTATCTATCTTTCAACTTTAATCTTTATAAAATTCTAAAGAATCATCATAATCACAAAAGTTGTTCGAAATACCAAACCATATTGTTCGTTTCTTTTTGTTTTTTTTATATATCGGTTCGATTATATATACGTGTGTGTGTCTGTGAGAGAGAGAGAGGGGGGGAGAGGGAGAGGGAGAGTGTGTGTGTATGAGAGAGTGAGTTTGGTAAAAGTCCATTGAAAGTTCGATTTTTCTCTTATCTTTCCTATAGTTAGGACCATTTCCTTTGTTCCTGGTACAATTTTTTTAATATTAATTGTCCAATGTCCAAATTTTTTTGCCTTTCCTTAGCCATTATCAAAAAGTGTTTGTTCATATTTTGGCTATACGTATCTGTTGTGTTTTTTTTTCTGTCCTCTGCCTGTTTCATCTTTTCCCGTGTATCGCATTATCATACAATTTATACAATGCCTACATACAACCACAATATTATCTACAAAAACGCTCAGATCCCAGACAATTTATATTTAAATTTGCATCGAAAATCAAGAAAATGGTCCGAAATTCAGAAAAGTAAACTCCAAAACTTTCGTTTGTCTTTAAAGAAACTTGTATGAATGAAAGTTTTCCTCCCAAATTTGCAAAACATTAGTTTTGTATTTCCACTTGGACCAAAAAAAAAAACAAACACTGATTTTTTTAATCCAGTGGACAATATACATATATTTCGGTTACGACGGCAGAACATAACATGAAGTTCGGATGTTCCTAAAATTGTAGCCGCCATTAGCAATATTTCATCTAAAGTCAAGGAAACAATTTTAAAATTAAATAATATTTAAATTTTTTAAATAAGTTCCTTTCGTGGGGTTTAATGATTTTTATTTCGTTTATGTTTGTTTTTATTTGATCTTGAGCTAAGGAGATGACCTTATCCCGCATGGGTTCTGTTATAGAACGGTATAATTCTTTTATATGTTTGTATAAATTGGCCATTATGTTTGAGGTTTCACTATTTGATAGCTGGGACCCCTAACAGGTGCTAGCACCCCAGATCAAGGTGGACCTTCATCATTCAAGGTGGTTCCACGATCATCAAAACCGCCAATCTCCTGATCAGAGGCCTTGCCGCTGGATGTAATTTATCGTCATGCTCAGGATCTGTGTGTTGGTAACAAGAATTAAAAATTCTGTTTTACTTCTTTTAATTTGTTTTCGTTTCCTATGATTTCCGAGTGTTTCTATGGGGAAGATAACAAAAAGACAAATCTTATTAAGGACTGAAAATTTTTGGAGAGCCATTATTGTCCTCACCCCGAAGAGACATGACACACAGGCGGAAATGGTTGCTTCTAATCATGTTTCACTATCTAATAACGATTTCGCATTTGTTTAATTTCTGTAATCAAACAGGAACCAGAACTACCAAGTGGGTTTACCAGTTAAATAACTGACATTTTTTTTTCACGCCGAAAATGAATTCCGCGTTCATTTCTTTGCTTCTTTGAAATTTGTTTTCCTAAAATCTTTTCGAATGAAAGCCTGAAAGTTAATCTGTCGAGATTCGAATTTTCAGGCAGAGAGAAACAATATTTAAAATAATTAAGAAAAGCACCTAAACGGAAAACGATGTGAACGATTTATGAACAAATTATCGATCAATTTTCACGAAATGTTCGTTTTTTTAACCTTTGACACTAATGACAGCAACTAAGATACCTTCAATTTGAAAAACAGTATCCTGATCACCTATGATTTTGGTTGACTGTATGTTAGTGTGTTTCAATAATTGAGAACGTAATTTTAGATTGAGGTTTATTGTATGTGGGCATCTTAACACTGTCAACAAAACTGGGCGGACTTTTTGTTTGTTAGTTTGTTGACAAAATAGCGTTACATTCAATTAAGCAATAATTTCGATTCGAGCTCACTCTGGTCATTGGTGACCAACTTCAAATTGACATATTTATTTGTATTTCTCATATATATATATATATATATATATACATACATACATACATACATTCATACAAACACACAAGCACACACACACGCACGCACACACACATATATATATATATATATATATATATATATATATATATATATATGGAGAGAGAGAAAAACAGATCTTTTCTGTGATATGTGTTGATGTGTGTATGTGTGGTGTGTGTGCGCGCGCCAAGCAACAAATCCGTTTCCCGCCCTATTTCGTTTAATTGGAAGCCAATAAATCGATTAAATATCTAATGTAGACTTCACTAATCCGCATCACAAATAATGCCTAACCTTCACTTGCCGCCGGGCGTTCGTGACACCATTGGACTTCAGGTCATCGTGCTTGCCACGAAACCCACGCACGCAATGATTAACATTATCATATATAACGCTCTGCATTCATGAAATCAACACAGCTACGCGCACAAATCACAGACAGCACAGATGAACAAAGCAAACAAACACACACACACACGCACATATACTCCGATACTTGAACACATATTCATAGCATACAGACATGTCTATAAGAAATTAAAATTCATAAACGCCAAAATGCAAATGGCTAAACGAGCAATACGCATTGACACACACAGACTGTCAAGAAACGCACATTATCACGTATGCTAAATCATATATCATATCATAAGCACATGATCACCTCGGCAAAACAACGTTGATAAATGCATAAGGATATTAAATAAACACATAATTACGCCTAGGCTTACATATTCATTAAACAATATCGATACAACTATAAGCGTTAAAAAGTGCGTTCAAACTCAGGCGATCGCTAACGCGGAGAATAAGATTGGATTCGTTATCCAACGGGAGTTGAATCTAAACTGCCATCTTCCAGGGCAATAAAGACTCGATCTTTTTATAGCATTTTCTTTTCTTTTTCTTATTTTCCATTATATTCTTCGGGGTTAATTTCTATCGTTATGTTACCGTCGGGAATCAATTTGCGATGTTCAACAACAATTTAGTTTTTTCACTTCTACATTTCAATTTTTTCTTCCCCAACAAATAACTTGAGTAAATTGGTTCACTTCGGCTCCATTAAGTTGCTTGTTGGACTATAAGTCCCTCCACTTCACCATCAAAAAATCAGAAAAACATGCTGAACTAAATAAATAAAAAAATTATCTTTTTTTATTTACTTATTTATTTATGTATTTAAGGTGAGTTATCGACATTCGAAAGGTTATTTAAATTTTATAATAGGGCCCCGTGGCGTATTTGCCGAAACATATGTCCTTTTGTTGTTGATGTTGTTGGGGGCCATCTGAGTACCACAACGAACCTAAGCCCTTGGTTGGGATCGACCACCTACCAAAAAGGTCTGTAAATTTGCCAGAGTGTAATATTCGGATAAATTTTCTTGTTTTTATGTTATTCTATTTGCTTCTAAACTGTGGCTTGTAAGTATTTAACAGCACGTCCACTCAAATGGAATGTGGCACGATTTAAAGTGGGTTGGTAGCCTAAACGTACGTGGATTGGGGATAGACATTGCTCAAGCACTCTCGGCAATTCTACTGTTGGGGATGGCTCAAGTGCCAGGTAATGACCCAAGCCCCCACCCACTGAATAAGAAGCAAAATATGGGAGACAATTAAATTTTAAAGCCCGTACCGGTGTAACAGCCCAGATTAAAAATTTCCTAAAATTTACACGGGTATAGTTTAGCTTTGTCCATAATTAACTCTGGAAATGATTGTGGCTACCCTACTACATAGCTGGAGGTATAAAATAACCCAGTCTAAACTATGCGCTACCGAGACTAGTTTATAGCCCACTTTTACTACTTATGTCAACGTAACCATGTTTCTGAAAAGGAACTAATGTTGTTCAAAATCAATAATCCCGTATAATTGAGTATATATATATATATATATATATATATATATATATATATATATATATATATATATTCTCTACCAGATATGGGTTAATTAGTAGGATTGGTATCAATAAATTATCAGTATCTCCAAAAATTTCTTACAATCTAAAAATATTTTTTGGCTTTAAATAACCTACAAAGGCTTGATACACAATAAAATTTTAAAAAAAAACAATAAACTAATGCATAAATACATACAGTATATGTATTTATATATCTATATAAGATTTAATTATCATATATATATATATGTGTGTGTGTGTGTGATTTTCTGTAGTTTACTGCTACCAGCAAGCAGAAATATTTCTTTTCCCGATGATGGCCATTTTGGCCGAATCTAGTCGAGGAATCTAAATGAAATAATACAAAAAACGAACGAATATTAATCTACAACCCAGTCTGAAGATTTTAATTTTTTAATATTTTTTATTGTTCAATATATATATATATATATTATAAATACATACAGCGTATATATTCATATTATATTTAATTATTATATATATCATATTATAAATGCATGCATTGTATATATTTATGAATATATCAATGTTTTCTTTGAAGCCATTGTGGGTTATCCCCTCATAACTTAGCCAGTTACAACAAGAAATCGTTACACCACTATTAAAATTTCTTAGAAACCACTCTCTCTCTCTCTCTCTCTCTCTCTCTCTCTCTCTCTCTCTCTCTCTCTGCATGCTTATGTGACAACACCACCGGGACCTTGTTCCTGGGCATGGCGACATCTTTCTCCTTAATGACTGAAATTTATTTGCACATGCACACCCACATATATGTATCGCCCACATAATTCTTAACGTCTTCTTTTTCTGCATGCACACCAGTGAATTTTCTTTTTGTTGTTGCTCGGTTATATAAAAACGAACATATAAAATATCGTCTTGTTGAAATTGTCTTCCATTTTCTTAAACTTATAATGTGCAAAATATTGCTGCCACTGCTTTTAGTCTGACTAGACGTAGTGCTGCAATACCATTTTCATTATTTGATTTTCTATTTTTATTTATAAGTAGCAAATTTTCATAGCCTTCCGCAATAGGAATAAACTTTATGCCGCTCTCTATTTACCAACCTCCTTACTGCGCAAGATGTGGCACAGGGCCAGTTTTTAATGTGGGGCGTTCAGAGCCCGTAGGCTCGTGTAAAAATTATCCAAAGACCCCGTATACACGGGGTCGGGTTTGTCTACCTCCCCAAACGAGACTCTGCCCTTCGGCATAATCTCGTCTGGGTTCCTCTTCGCCCGGAGGCAAAGAGTTCGACAAGAGAGGAAGAGGAAGAGAAGCTCCAAACTCTCTTGAATATTAAAGTAAACATATAACTTTCTGATCCACCCCGCTGATTAATCTACTACTGATTACCAGAATATTCTACTATGAAGAAATTAGATACTACGTCACCAGAAGTATCCAGTACATATAATTCGGCAACTACTTCACCACAAGATTCTATCCCATGTCTTCGTCGTCGTCTTTATTTGGTATCCAAGAATTTAATTTCCTCTTTGCTGATCGCTTCCTTTATGATGACGTCATTGCTGACTAAATTAGCCGCCAACATGTAGGTTCAAGACTAGAATCTTCCAGTTTCACCAAAACTTTCTACCGTCATCATCCATTCCCTATCGCCATTTGGTTTTGCAAGAGTTGGTTGGAGGTGAAACAAAATCAGAGTAGAAGAAAGTGCCCTCTTCATCCGCTGATTCAACCCATGAGAACTTTTTCCATCGTCATCTGCTTGTTGCACCGTTGGGATCTTTGGGGTTGGTCGCTCTTAGACTGGGTCCTCGTCTTCGACCTTACCGCCAACGGTGGCCAAATCAGGAGTTTAAAATTCTAGACGGCATCGCTTTCAGAATCATTGGACCACGCATGCCTTTCCACCACGACAAGGAGCGACCATCAGAAATACCACATGTATAAATGTATAAAATGTATATGTATATGTATATGTATAAATGGGTGACTACGTCGCCAGAAGAGTCCACGACATATAGATAGACGACATCATAAAAATATATAAATATATATGCACTCTAATTCCAGGAAGAAGGCTGAGTAGTGATTAATTGATTGTCGGCAGAGTGAGATACCAAACACTGATATATTTATCAGCCTTCCCACGAAGGTTGGATGTGGCACAATGTAATTTTTAAAAAATGTGGTGTCCCCGAGTCAACTGTCACGTTGGCGCCCGTATTCACTAACCCTTTTTCTTTAGAGCAATAAAGAAGACGGTACCGCAGAGGAGGAATTCTCGAGGCAGGGTTTCTTCACAACTTTAAGCGAAAATGAGAACAGATGCTACACTTGGTTTAAAGTGGTGAGCCCAAGCGCCTTCACATGGACTAAGGTAATAAATGACCAGTCCCCGTAACTAACGATGCGCTGGCGTTGATATTCCATCCCCCACTCTTTAATGCAATGAGGGAGGTTCTGTCTCAGGGTTAGAATCCTCGCGACCAGTTTGTCCGAAGACAGAAACACAATTGTGAGATAAAATATAGTTTATCTGCCCGAAGGCAGATACTACACATTGATCCAAGTTTAAAGGCCGATCCTAGAGAGAAGTACTGATTCCTATATAAATAAGTCCGTCATTTTTTACAGGTACTCTGCGAGTATAATATAAATGTCTACCGGAAGTTATATCTAATCAGTAGTTAGTGAATAAAAAAAAAAATTCAACATTTATTTTGTTCTATATTGCCAAACAAAAAAACAGGAAATTGTGCACATTTTATACAAATTACAGCAGCCCCAAAATTGCATCTTGCAAGGTAGACATTTTAGTGTTATAGATCAAATCTCGTCAAAGTAGACAATAAATTTACACACTTATATTAGAATTAATTACAAGTTACAAAACTGCAATTACTTACTCTGAAAGTTTCCATCAGTGTGGGCTGAGGCAAGGAGTAGAATTCGAGAAACAATGATTTGTTAGAAGAACCGGCAATTAAACAAAGTGGCGTGTCATTAAGGAAAGCTTTTAATCAACTTAAAACGGCTCAAGTGAATCCTGACATTCGACTTGACACCTTTTTAACATTATGCAACAAGTTTTCATATTTTGGTGCCGGTTGGCGTCGACCGTCCTCTTTAGATATATAATTTATGCAAAGCACACACACACACACACACAAAACAGAAGTGCAGAGAAATAGAATAGGAAGAAAAAAACGACAGCGAACTCTAAGACGGACCAAGAATAGCCTCTATTGTTCCAACACTGAAAAGTTTTATTATGTTTCACTCCCGCTCCCCCGATTACAAAACGCGATTTCTTAAGTCTTTTTTCTAAAAGAGATACGAATACGAATTTAGTGACAAAAAGTCCCTATTTCCGCCAAAATGTCCCAAAAAATATCTTCTTGGTCTTATATGCGAAGGTATATCGTATGCTATTATTTATCTAGACACCATCAACTACAGATGCTTGTATCTAGTTTAACGCCGTAATAGTGTAATATCAAATGTAGATAATGGGTTTCGTAAATACAGTAATATAAAGACTGATGCTATTAGGTTGGTGCAAAAATAATGACGTAATAATGTCGTTTTTTGACGTTAAAAAATACGTCAAAAAACGAAATTATTACGTCATTATTTTTGCACCAACCTAATAGTTAATCAAAAGAAAATACCGACTCCTCAGCGTGGTCGGTCTGAGTTCTAAGCTAGCGAGACTTCTACACCATGTTCAGTTCTTTCACTTCACATTCTCTTTCTGTTTAACGATGTCATATACATGTACAATTAGCAACACAATTAATTTGTATATTTTAACGATAAGAGGATTTATTTTTATAATTATCGGCTATGTATTAAATTATTATAATTAGGAGCACTCGTGAAAATTTCACAGTTTACCTATTCGAATTTCCTGATGAGCCATAGTTCTTAAATTAATGACTAAATAAACGCATTGCGAGTTTCACGTCTATAGCATAAACGTGGAAATTCTCCTATTGCATTGTTAAATATTTGAGCTTAACAACTTTAACAAAATATTATAATATATTACATGGATGAATGCAGGACTATGGTGTAATGGTGAACGATTTTGGTAGAACAATTACGACTGATTACTGAGATCGATCCTCACTGGATGCCTCGTAATTTCAGTCTTATGCTACGTCTAAGGTACGCTTAGTATTCCCATTGGATTTCTCTTATTGCATCGTTAGATATTTGAGCTTAACAACTTCAACAAAATATTATAATAACAGTATAAACGCAGGTTATTATTTTAAAAAGTCAGAGGGTACAAACTAAAGAAATTGGTAAGTTTTTTTTCCATTTCACTGAAGCTGACGTTAAACGCGTTATGACCTCTTTTATCTTCCTTTTCTTTCTCTCTCTCTACTCTACTCTCTCTCTCTCTACTCTACTCTCTCTCTCTCTCTCTCTACTCTACTCTCTCTCTCTCTCTACTCTACTCTCTCTCTTTCTACTCTACTCTTTCTCTCTCTCTCTCTCTCTCTCTCTACTCTACTCTCTCTATTTCTTTCTTTTTTCTTATTACGTTTTACTCGTTAAAAGCAAATAGTGTCGCAGATAAATCTTTTTTTCTTCCGTCTTTCCTCGCAATCAAAAACAGAATGGTCCATTATTTATCTGAGGTAATGACAGGGCGTTAAAGTACGTGATAGCTAACAAATTAACTAACGAATGAGCTAGCAGAACTATGATATATTTCACTCATACTGTGGCCAGCGTTAGTCGCTTTCCGTAACGCCATGGTTAACCAGTTGAACTCAGTATCTAAATCGCTAATGTAATGGATGCAGTTGTCACTGGGTGCTCAGAAACTAAAGCCTTGAGACTAACTACACCGAGGTCAGTGTTTTTTTTTTTGTTTGTTTTTTTTTTTTACGTTTGTTTCTTTATTATTCGGTCGAGTTGGTTCGGACATCCATGAGTCTATCACGCCATTCATCACGGTCCTGCATCAAGATCGAAAGGTCATTAGGTTGGTATTCTGCATCATAACATAGTTGGTCAATGTTGGTGGTTGCTGGGCGACCAACCCGTCTTGCTCCATAGTTAGGTGTCCATAGCAGTAGTGCACTCGCAAGTCCTTGTTTTGCTTACCAACAGTTGTCCTGCAAAGCGCATTCCGCGTTCGCGTAAGACTAGAAATATCAGGGATGAGTCCATATAGCCATGATTTTGTTGGATGTTGTCTCCAGATGTTAAGTATAGCTCTCAGCATCCGAGTCTAGGTTACATCAAGCTTAGACTCTGGGGTTTTAGTTAATGTCCAGACAGCGGCACCATGCATCAATATCGCCTTTACAGTGGCTCGAAAGTATTTGTGCTTAAGATTGACTAGTACATCAGATTTTCACATTACATCCATTTTGTTCAAAGCGGTCCAGGCTTCAGCTATGCGAATGTCCACATCTTTTTCAGTAGAATTTTCTTCGATTCTTAGCTATGTAAAAGATTTTATTGATTCACCTGAGACATTTTTGTATCGAGCCTTGTTGGTGAAAGACTATGAATTTAGTTTTAGATGCAATGACATTGTTGTAGCATACCTACGGACGATAATGTGTATGCTCCCATTCACATAAATACAACAGTAAATACTGTATGCTGGTCTGCAGTTGAAGATTCATTGTAGAATTCACGTGACTCACTTCTAGCAGTTTACTACTTCTTCTACGCTCGCAAATCTTA